AAAGTTTACTACAGCATTACAAACAAAGTATACATTTTTCAATCTAAACTTCGACGCCTTGTATTTCGAAAATCGTCCACTTTTGAGCTAGACAAATTAGGTCGAATCAACATGTTTTCGCCCTAGGAATTTGTAGTAGGACTTTTTACAGACATTCTGCTTAACAAACGTGAGCAATGAAGAAAGACCGATGAAACGATAAAACAAAATTTTTTTAAGAAATATTGCATGTTTTTACAAAAATATATTCGTCAATTGTAAGTGACTTTATTTAATTAAAATTTCACAAACTGTCTGATAGTTTAGGGGTTTTTTCCTCCAATTCCACTCGTTTCGGACATATTAAGTAACATTTTTCAATTTTTTATTGAAACTTTAAAATCCTGTATTTAGGAACTTTGGTTCATTTACTTTACTAACATTATTTTAAACCGTAGAATCTACTGCACAAGTTTGCAATTATCACTTATCCTGTATACAGGATGGTTCAATTTTTAATCTGAGACACAAAAGAGAAATAGGACTGACCAAAATATGTAGATAATATAAGTAGTGTTTTTTCCGTGCTAACTCTGAAAGCCAATAAGTCCAAAAGGACCACAAACATGGAAAAAAATTAGGAGGTAAAAAAGTTTAAGAACTGAACAGGGAATTAAAAAATATATAAATCAGTCAGTCTTTAGTGGCGCAACACTAAAAATGGGAGGTGGCCATAAACGGCCATGGTCCTAAAAAATCGTCTTGCATCTTCCTACAATCGTTTGGCTCATTGAACGATGTAGACCCCTTAGATCTTAAGTATTTAAATTCGAATTAAAAAATATTGTAATATTAATTATAACATGGAGTTCGAGTGCATACAGGTGAGTTTCCAAAATGTGCTATGAAGTAGCTAATTTCTTCACAAATAGGCAAGAAAGCGATGCCTTTTCTCGCAACATTTGGCCGTTAAAGACTTTAGTCCATAAACCGCATAAGTAAAAAACTACTACTTTTGATAATAATGCTTACAATTATTGCAACTGTGAAGCTGTTTTTGCTCATTTCTCTAATGAGCCAGCTAAAACCCTTCAAGACGATGTTTATGTTTGACTCGTTTTATTCATTTTTAAAAGTCCATCTCTGCATATTTAAATGGATTTGCCTGAATGCACTTTTGAACGGTAAAACGGGAACAAATCAGTTTTGCATTAGTGCGTTTTAATGTGTTGCACGCCTCTGCTCTTTTACATAAAGCACGTAGGAAGTGCAGTTTCTCGACGGATACGTGGTTGGGAAAAATTTGCATGGACAACAAAAGGGGGCTCCGGAATAGCCAGAACGAACCACGGCGCGGTTCCGCCATCATTATTCATGTTTGGATCATTTCAAACTGCGCTTTACTCTTCGGGAAGAAAACGCTGGTTTTCTATCTCAGGCAAGGAAAGTTGAAATAAAACCAGCAGTCTTTTTGATCTGGGAAATTTATCGTTCGAGTTGTTTTTAGCATCATGTAAACAGAGCAGTAATGTGGCCGATGTAAATTTTCTTGTCTGTGTGATATTTATGTACAAATATTCTTCTATTTCCATGCATGTAACCGTTGCTTGAAACACTTTATTGCTACACGGGAGAGGTTTTTCTGAATTCCAATTGCAACAGCACTTGTTCTTGTTCAAGTTCACTTGCATTTCTTAATCGTCTGTTCTCTAATGAATAATCTAATCTCGCAGAGATAATATGCTAATTGCTACTGGAATATTGAATATTTCGCTTAATCTCGATTTTCCTGTTTGGGTCAGTTGCAACTGTTACAAAGCTGAACCAGTAGTTACCGTAACATCGTTCCGATTCCAAGTCGTTCAACCATTTGTCAATAGTCAATCGATCAATTGCTTGCCGCCTTTCCAAAGTGCAAAATGCCGCAAGCAAATAGTTTTCTCCAGTATGTTGTTGTTCCACCGTAGAACCGTTCCTATGTCGTATCGCTTCTTATTTTTAATCAAACAGCCATTTGAATAATTTTAAAATTAAATAACGGTGTTCAGCATCTTGGAGAGCCAACGAGCTAACTGTACTTAGTTGTTGGATTTAATCGATCGTATAAACATAGTGGAATATGGGACCAATGGGAGTCTGTTCATGGGGTCACACCATTGGTTATGCAAAGTGGATAACTAATGGTTTTCCGGAAAAAAACCATCGGTTAAATTTAGCTTCTTTTTTATGCAAAAAACATGTTAAAGTGCTGACAAACTTCCCCCTTTGTTCAGTTTAAGTTTATATAAAATGTAAGAACAACGAGAAACATTGCGTGACAAATGCCAAGTTTAATAGGGCTTTTCTCGGGCAAATTTGTTCTTGACCAAATGCGCTGTTTCTTCACAACACACAATTTGTTGAAAAAAAACGCAATTTGATCGGAGAGTTTTAACCAAAGAAAGATGCAAAACAGTGTTTGCATTATTGATTTTATATGAAATGCTAAAATAACAAACCATTTTGCGCGAAAAGTCGAGTTTTTCTCGAGGCAAAACCCAAAATTGCGTTTGCTCTTTTGCGTTTTTTATTTTCAACTTGCGTTAAGTCAAGTTTAACGGAAGATTTATTTGAGCAAATTTGCTTGTTTTGATTACATTTTATATAAAATTGTTTTCTGCAGTACTTTTGTAAAAATCCCGCCATTAAAAACGTTTTTTTTTTTCAGCAAATTTGTTAATTTTTTAAAGAAAAAAGTCCTGGTTAACCGTTTTTTTATGAAAAATTGAAATGAGTGCCTAATTTTTCTTTTAAAAGACCAATTGAAATTTGGTTCTTTACTGAAAAGTTGATGGCGGATTTGTACTACAGAATAACACAAAAAAGTACCTAAAACCTACCCATTTGTTCCTTTTATGTAAAATGCAAGAAAACAAAAACTATTGCGCGAGAAACCCCCGGAAAAAAATGGTTTGGAGCTCAAAATTGTTCGTTTATCTTACCTTTTATACGAAATGTACCCATGCGTTTTTAACTACTTCTTTGCATTGTTCTGTCGCAAAAAACTCCTTGTTGAATTTGAGCTCTAAATTGAAGGACCAACGAGAAAAACACTCAAATTCAACGCAGAGTTTTTCGAAATAATCATGCAAGAAAGCCCTTAAAACGCATTTGTTCCATTAATATAAAATGGAATAAACCCGAACAAACTTTCGTCAAAAACCTCCATTAAACTTGAGTTTTTTTTACTCAAAATCGTTCGTTTTTCTTGCATTTTATATAACACGAATAAATACGTTTTTAAAGATTTTTTGCATTATTTTGCCCCAGTTGAACTTTGACTTCTCCTAGAATTAAAAAGCGACAAATTTGCGCAAAGGAAACATAATTTTAATGATGGATTTTGGAAACGAAGGAAAAAATTAACTTCAAACGCATCTGTTCATTTTATATAAAAATAAAGCAAAATTAGTAATAGTGCGCTAAAAAATACAAGTTAAAGGAGATTTTTTTGCGCAAATTAGTTCGTTTTTCTTGTAATTTATATAGATTTGTTTATTTTATATAAAAATTACTGTAATTGGTTTAATATAAACATATTGGTACTTAACCCAGCCTCACCAGATAAGTTTGTACATTTCATAGAAAATGCAATAAAAACTCATTTTTTCTTTTGTTGAAAAATGAAACGCGAAAGAAAAACGAGCATAGAAACCCGCCTTTAAAGTTGTGATTTCTTCGGGCAAATTTATTCGTTTTACTTTTTCAGTCCAAGTTTCATTTTTTTTTAAAAGAAAAATGTTACAAAAAATACTTGAAAACTTAGATGTGTCTTTTAGAATGTTGATGCATTTTTTGTAATAAAACGATTAAACTTACGCTATTTGTCCTAAAAAACCAACCAGTTTTCTCGGAAAAAAAACACGATTTTTACGGCGGGTTTTTACAAAAGTACTGCAGAAAACAATTTTATATAAAATGTAATCAAAACAAGCAAATTTGCTCAAATAAATCTTCCGTTAAACTTGACTTAACGCAAGTTGAAAATAAAAAACGCAAAAGAGCAAACGCAATTTTGGGTTTTGCCTCGAGAAAAACTCGACTTTTTGCGCAAAATGGTTTGTTATTTTAGCATTTCATATAAAATCAATAATGCAAACACTGTTTTGCATCTTTCTTTGGTTAAAACTCTCCGATCAAATTGCGTTTTTTTTCAACAAATTTGTTCGATTTCCTACCTTTAGGAAAATTCGACAAATTTCAATTTTTTTTCTTTTGAGCTCCCTGGATTGTTTCCGGTCTTAGAAGCTCTTCAATATGCATATTCAAGGTGTTGGAGTCTTTAATACAGAAAATATCGCCGGTCAAAGATCGTGACGAATATTAAAATGTACCAAAAATATCGATTTTTCCGAAACTGAAGGTTCTAACGTGTTTTCCAATCATTCCGTTGCATTCCTCGTTTCCTCGAGATGAAAATTAGGTAAAGTTCGGGAGGGTTTGAGAAACTTTATATTTTATTGAAAAAATTCGACCCCAATCTTAGGAAAATTTCGTTCAAAATTCAAAATTTTACATGCATGTTTTCTGAGCTCAATTATTTGTTTCCGGCCTTAGAAGGTCTTCGATATACATATTTAAAGTTTTTCGGCATTTAGCACGAAAAATAGTGTCGGTGCAATAATATCGATTTTTCCGGATCTGAAGCTTCCAGCGTGTTTTTCAATGAGTTCGTTGCATTTCTCGTTTCCTGGATATAAAAATGATGGAAAATTCTAGGCATTTTGAGAAACTTTATATTGTGTCAAAAAATTGATTCTACCCTTAGGCTTTTTCGGTCAAAATTCAAAATTTTACATGTTTTTACCAGTTTTTATTAATTATCTAGGGAGGGTGTCAACTTAGAAGGACTAGTCTGTGCTTCAGAATCTGTTGGAAAAACCGTTGCAGATTTTTCCTTTATCCCCTTTATCAATGGCGAACTTTTCATAGAAATAATTGTCGGAAAAATTGTCATTTGAATGGTTTTTGTGTTGTTTCAGATCGTCTGACGAGCACGGTTTTCCGGACCCGTCGAGCGATGCGGCGTCGCGTTTCTATGAGCGCCCGACCAGCGGCGTCGGAGCCGCCCCTACTTCCGCCCCTGAGGGCGGTTCAGGCACCTGTCGAGGTGGCCGGAACCGCGACCGGTTCCGTGGGGGCGGCGGACACAGAGGGGCGGTCTCCGTTTGGGGAACTTCCGCTGCCGGATATGCGGATTCGTCCAGGTGAGTTTCAGTTCGATTCCCTTTTGATTCCTACTTTGGAACGAGTTGCATTCATCCGCATTTAACGAATCAATTAGTTCACATCGGTTTGGTGCATATAAACTATAAAGGCGATAAGGATGATACTCATTGTTCTCTCTATGGCTGAATAATATCAACAGCGGTTTAGATAATGATAAGCGTTATTGCTTTAAAGATGTCGATTAATTGGAATTTCATTTGCGATTAACTATCGAACAGACAGGCTAATTGGATCGGTCGCAAATATTTGTGAGTCATTCAATAATAATAATAATAATAATAATAAATAATGCCTCAGATGCTATGAGTATTCAAAGGTTATCCATGTAAATTGTGCCATTTTGATAGATTTAACCCCCCCAAGTGAGGAAATATCAGGAACCATTGTTTTCTAATGCACAAAGCTCAGTTAAGGAAGAGAAACTGATAACTAGTTATGAAATTTAATTCCGGTTTTTTGGACAAACACAGGAAAGGTTGGAAAGAGCTGAAAACATACAATTTTGCCTTTGGTTTTTTATGAGAAATGTGGAAAGTGATATCTTTGCTAGATCGAAATGGTGGACAAAATCGTCATTGAAACTGCCGAGTTTTTCTGTCTGGAAAAAAGCGTCCTTTCCAACGTTTCGTAAGCAAGAGTGGCGTATCTTCAGAGGTGGTTTGCACGACGCAGCAAATTTTCAAGTTAACTAAAATGAACAAATACGTTTTTAAGTACTACTTTTAACTTAGTAATACTTTTACTTAAGTATACTTTTGTATCATTTTTCCTTAAAAACCCCAGTAAACTTGGGTTAGTTATAACTATTCTTTCGTAAAACCTCTCCGTTAAAATAGTTTTTTCAACAAAGTTGTTTGATTTTTTTGGAGGAAAGATCGAATTTAAGACTTAAAACGAATTTGTTCATTTTATATACAATGCAAGAGAAACAAATTTGTTCGAAGCACCCCCTGTTAAACTTTGTTTAATTAATACGTTTTCTTCACTCAAAATTATTTTTTTCTTTTAAATGCAAAAACATAGAAATTGTTTGTTTTTTTGGTACCTTGAACAAATAGATTTCTCAGTCCTTTTTGTCATTTTATCGTAAAAACTTTAAACTTAAAATTGTTTTCTTTTGGGAACGTTTGTTTGATTTTCTTTTTAGGAAAAACCTCCAGATCAACTGGATTTTCGAAGGAAAATTTATTCAAAAGTAGTTACTGAAGAACGGTTAAACTTCAGTTTTTCTCACGCAAAATTCTCGGTTTTTCTTGTATTTTATTTTTTTTTATAACAAATAATTTTTGAGTTCCTTTTTAATAATTTTCCTTTAAAAACTTTTTTCCTGAAAAATAAAAGCGATTAAATTTGCGCGAAATGGTTCGCGTTTAGTTGCACTTTATGTAAAATGAACAAATGGGTTTTTAAGTCCACTTTTGTACGTTTCATTCGGAGATATCCGCCGTTAAAATTGTAATATTTCAAGAAAATTTGTTCGATTTTCTTTTTAGTAAAAAGCACAAGTTTATTTGGGTTTTCTCAGGAGAATAGATGCAAAAAGTACGAAAAACGGTTAAACTTTTGGTTCGGTTTTATTGTATTTTGTATAAAGTGAACAATTGCGTTTTTAAGTACTTTTTGAATCATTTTTCCTTAAAAAGCAAGTGAGTTTGGTCGAAAAAAATACACAATTTTAACAACGGGTTTTTTCAAAAGAACTTGCTGATTTTATATAAGATGCAGGTAAAAATGATCAAATTTACGCGCAACTCTCCCGTTGAGCTACAGCATTTAGGCGCAAAATTGTTCGTTTTTTTGCACTTTATATAAAATGAGCAAATGGGTGTAAAATATTTTTTTTCCATAATTCTGTGGTTAACTTCCTTCTTTAACATTTATTTTTATTTTCGAGCAAGTTTGTTCAATATTTTTTAGGGAAAGTTCAACTGAGTTTTAAATGAAAAGTGAGGAACCAAAAGTGCTTAAAACACATTTGTTAATTTTATACAAAATTTAAGAAAAACGAACAATTTTGCGCAACAAACCGAAGTTTAATTGGGGCGTTGTTTTTGCGAAAAAATGATGATGACTGACTTAAAACCATCTCTGAAGATGCAAGCTGTGCTTGTAAAACTTCCTTATTTTAAGGCGAAAAAGTTTTTTGCCTTAAAGTAAGGTAAAAAATCTAGAATTGTTTATTTTGTTGTTGAATTTTTAATCTGCTTTCTATTGGAACCACGTTCTCTACTACTGGTTGGGATAAGCTGCTTTAAGTTGAAGTTTAAACGATGAAAATCAGTTTTGTTGAACTGAATACAACTTTTATTAAAAAAAATAGGCAAAACTGTGACTCGTTTTTGTGGCTTTAAAAACATTTAAAAAAGCATTTCGTTTCGGCAAAATAGTGCAAGTGCAGTTCCTTGACTAGTTACTAATCACAAGTACCTACGCACTTCCAGGACCGGTTTCGCGTCTATTAGTTACTTACTGTTGCTTAAGTATGCTTACTTGTTTTTTACAAACTTCTTTTTGGGTATTTTGCCTCAAAAATGTTTGTCGTTAAAAAAGACAGAATTTCCTCACGTCTTTTATTACAGATTGATAAATAGTGCTCCTATTTTACAATAAGAACGAATTATTTATCAAAAAGTATCCTGCGACACACTTAGGCTCAAGCTGTAAGAGAAAATTCCAATTAGTAGAGAAATAAATTTGAAACCTTGACGTTTCGATAGCTATTTTCTGCTATCGTTATCAAAAGAACCTAAATGCACCTAAAAAAGAGTATGTTAATAAATTGTGTAACAATAGTAGGATAATA